ACAGCTCTCCAATACCCAGCTGCCTCGCTGCTCCACCCTTGCAATGCCACGCTGCTGGTGAGTTCCCGTCACAATAGCAGGACATACAGATGGCCAAGTGGTGGGGAATCATGGTGCGGCACCGGAGGGGTGCACCTCCAGCAGCAGTGGCTGTGGAGGCAGCCATCCCTGGCACTCCTGCCTGGTCACTGCACTGGCCGGGATCAGCACCTCGGATGAGGTAAGTCTTGAAATTGTCCCATGCTGGGAGCAAGTGGACGCCTCATGGGATGGCTGCCCTTGGGCTGTGCATGGGCATCACCATCCAGGTGATTGCCCTGAACAGCTCATTTTCCCTGCTTTATCTCTGCTTCCAGCTGCAAGATAATAGAAAATAGAAACAGAACAAGTCAGAAGGGGTCTGCCGGGCCATCTAGTCTGACCCCCGGCTCCAGCCGGCTCTGCTCACGACATGCCCACCATGTGCATGTCCAGCCTATCGTTGAACACCCTCACCGATGGGGCCTCAGCCACCTCCTGTGGAAGCCCATTCCATATCCTCGGGATCATCATAATCACAGCCTCATGATTACCTTGTGGACACACTTCCCCTGGCAGCCCTGGAAGCAGCCCTCCAAGAACCATGAGCTGCTGTTGGGTTGTTTGAGGGTTGTAACCCACCTCCCAGCCAAAGGAGCCATGCCATCCATGGTCTGGATGACAGCAAGCCATGCCGGTGAAGGTACTTAGGCAAATCCAGCCCGCATCTGAGCTGGGGGAAATAAGCCACCACAGCTTATTTCCCTTATCATGATCATGCAAATGAGCCCAAAGGGAAAGAGAACAGCAGCAGCACATTTATTAGGCTTAGCATGACTGCAGTCCTATGCATTATCACACAGGGAAGAAGAAAGCTCCATTCAATCCAGTGATGCGCACATCTCACTTATCAGTTGGACTTGGCTCAGAGAGCCCAAGTGTGGGTTAATGTCGTGGCATATAAATAGATATAATAAAGAAACAAACTTGCAAAATGAAAGGAGCCTTAACAAAAGAGCTTCAGCCAGGTGAAATGCAATCTTTGGCTTTTCACTAGAAATATGTATCTATATAAAGCAGTTCTAGTTAAACTACTAGCACAAAGTAGAACTTTGTCCTTAGAAAAGCAAACTCATCCTTATTTTCCTCACCTTCTGACTTCCTATATGCAAAGCAAGTCACAAATAGTAACCCCGAAAGCATCCTAGAACTGGAAAGGCCCATGAGTTACCCTGGTGCTCTGACAGATGGCATTGTCATCCCTGCTTTGAGAAAGCCGCAGAGTGGCTCATCTCTGCACTCCACCTCCACGACACTCTAAGCTAGCCTCTCCTTCCCTGCTTTGTTCAACCATTGCCTTTCAATCCCCTTGCAGTGGCTTTTGAGTAAGTGCATGTGTGTGGAGGGGGAAGATGAGGTGTTGGCAGGGATGGACACACGAGATTTACCCAGGGTGCACCTGCAAGCCTTATCTGCATGTTCTTCTTAGTGGTGCAATGGAGATTTCTGGACTGCTTCAGAAGGGAAAGAGGATGAGTAAGGCCATTTATGGCAGGCTTCCTCTCCTAATATTTAAAATGAAAACCTCCAGTGTTCTTGACTATTGGCCATGCTGGCCAGGGTTGCTGGGAGTTGAAGTCCAAAATATCTAAAGGGCATCCAGGTTGGAAAAGAATGGCTGTGCCCTAACATCAGTCTTCCTTTCCCTCCGTGATGTGATGACCAGACATGGGCCTCATTTGACAGGTGGGGCTGGCACACTGTTTGCACCACACGGGCAGATTTCTTGCCATTTCTAATCGGTGAGCCAAGGCTGCCGCTCTGGCATTCAGGAACTACTCCCAGCCCTCTCTCCTGGCTTCCCGTTGTCAGCCCAGTTCATGTGTTCCTCATGTCTCCTTATATGGTGCTTGTGCTTCTGTTCTGCGTTGCTTTAGGGAGGAACTTGGTAGAGTCTGGTGGTCCAAGTAATACAAGATTTCTTTGACTATGGCTCACCTTTTGATAGGTCTCCGAAGTATCTTTCCCTTTATAACTCAATTCATTACAAAATGCTGTTGCACAAGCCCCACTCACTTGAACAGAAGCAGCCTAGCTCAACTTAGTGGTTTCCAGATATGTAGGGTTACAGCTCCTAACATCCCCACAATGCAAGGCTTCCATGATGGGATTTGTAGTCTAATACATCTAGAAGACACCAGGCTGGGGGATGCTCTCCTGGAGCTTTGAACCACAGCCAGACAGTCACACTCTGTAAAAACACACTTTAAAACTATCACCAGTGAAGATATATGAGCTCATATGAGCAAAGCAATGACTGAGTTCAGATAACAAGATAGCCCACATTTCAACAGCAACCTGTACTCCATCCATCCAGGCAAGAGGGCCAGCAGTGAGCCCTTTCATTTCTTTGCAGCCCACAGTAAGTGCAGAAACTCTTCTGTATGTGCATTCCGTAGGTCCCTCTCAACAGGGGCTCAACTGTTGCTACTGCTCAACCTGGAGGAGTTCTCAGTACGTCTTTCAATTTTTGAACATATAAGCAGTTAAAAGAAGGGCACCTCTGGGCATGTGTAGTGAATAAACATATAGTTCACTTACCACCAGCACCACCACCTTTGGGATGAATGATCAGATCTTCAGGGTATGCTTGAGCTTCTTAGGAAGGTAAACATATAGATATGTAGGATGCACCCAGACTGAGGGGTTATTGCACACTGAGCACGCCAGGAGACTGATGCCCACAAGCCAGATAGGGACTGTGGTAGCCCAAGTGGATAAGGGGATTGGTTGATTCAACATATAGACTGTAGCACTACTCTGCCTTGCACAATTCCATCTTTACTAATGCACCCATTGTTTCTTCTTTGAAATCCATTTTTCTCTGCCCATCACCCCATCAACTAAGAGTTAGCATTTAATAAGATACGGAGGAAGTTGCTGAGTACAGCCTTAGCAGCTCATGACTTCCCAAGTGCTGTGTGGGCCAGCAGGACAAAAGTGCTTTGCATATCAGAACTGGAGAGACCAGCAGTGCAATCCAACGCAAGCTTCCTCTGAACTAAATCCCACTGATTTCAATAGGACTTACTTCCAAGTCTTTAAACAACACCCCTGAAATTACAGTTTTTGAACAAACCTCCTTCCTCCCTTTCTCTCTTTAAATGCACAAAATCTTCAAAACACCCTGAAGACTTTTCCTTCCTTATTTCTGAGAATAAATGGGAAGAGGGGCTTGATGATGAAAGTCATTATTCAGGTGAGGACTCCCTTACTGAGGTCTTCAAGCAGCAGCTGAAGAGCCATCTGCTGGGGAAGCTGTAGCTCTTGAATTCCTGCATGGAGCTGGGGTAGGCTTAGATACCCCCTCTGTCCACCTCCAACTCTGGAGTACAAGTCATGCATCTTTAGCCAAAAGGGTATCATCCGCCAGGATTAGGGTAAATCAATATCACTACCAAGGATGTTGGATGAACTTTTCAAACGTGAAGAGAGAGACACCTGACACGCGGCAGGGGCAGGCAATCTAGTGTCTTCCAGATGTTTTGGACCACAACTCCCATAATCCCTGCCCAGCAACCACATGGTCTGGGACTCATGGGAGTAATAGTTCAGGCCATCCAGAGGTCATCAAATCACCTCCTGCAGCATTACAGTTGATTTCCTTCTTGGATATCTTTCAACCAACCTATTGTGCACTTAAGGCATGAAGGGTAGCAAAAGTGGAGCCTTCTGGCTAATGATGTGGGATAAAAAGCCAGTAAATAAATAACTATAAACCCTGGCTGACATGCTGGTTCTAAGGCCTGCCGTACCACAGCGGCATAAAATCCAGGCATTCAGGAGCTGAGGAGTGTGCAAAGTGCAGCCCTCCAGCTGCTGCGGATCACAGCTTCCATAAACTAGGCAGTATGGCTAATGGACAGGGATTGTGGGAACTGTAGTCTAAAACTGTAGGCAGACACCAGCTATCCTGTCATGCTAAGCTAGAAAGGTCTGACTTTGTATAAGACAGTTTTCAATGTGCATGGGATACCTAGCAAGTTATGAAACCAGTAGACGGTAAATTCCAGAAAGGTATTTTGTTGCAGCGAAAACAATACCGTGCAAAAACAACAGAGTCACGCTGCATGTTGATTCTGGCATGAACTTTTGTGGACTGCAGCCCATTGCACAGTTGCTGGGGATCAACAGTGGGGATGCTGCTGCCTCCAATTCTTCTTGGGGATTTCCCACTGGTAGCTGGTGGACCGCTGCGCAGGCAAAATGCTGGACTAGAGGGCTCTTGAGCTAATCCCGCAAGGCTATTCTGAGGTTCTTGTGAGTGTTATGGGCAGATTGTGGGAAAGAGGTTGTAAACTGCGAGGTCAGAAGGGAATTAAAGGTAGAAAGTGCAAACAGCAACAATCACATTAACAGCAGCCATTCGTACTCCTATTTCTACATTGAAGTTATACTCCTCCAGTTTTCCACTTATATGGATCCCAAGGTGGCTTGCAGGGTTCTCTTCCTCTCCACTTTTACCCTCCCAACAACAACCCTGTGAGGTAGGTAGCATGAGAGGCAGTCACCCAGAATCACCCAGTGGGCTTCACGGCTGCGTGGGGACTAAGAACCCATATCTCCTGTGTCCCAGTTCAGCACTCTAACCACTACATGATCTGGCTCTCTTGCTAGTAACACAAACGTTCTTGCACTAAGCATGCCAACAAGCACATGCAATGCGATAAAAATTATTTATCCTGATTCAAGCCTCTGCAGATAGAATCAAACCTATTAAATTGTATTGTTAAAAAGGATTTCCTTTAACCGCGTGTGTGTGTGCTTGCGTGTGCGTGCGCACGCTCTCTTTCTCTCACCTATATGTATTTGCAAGTGATCACCCGTCCTCGTCCGCACCCTGTTTGTTTCGCCCGCGGGAAGTCTCTCCGCAGCCAACCAGCCACCACTCCCGGAGTTTCGTTCCCGAGAAGCCAACTTACCTGCGTGCTGCACAGAAGTCCTCAGAGATGGAGCTGCGTTCGCTGACCTCCCGCACGGCGATGAAATTAACTAGCTGTTTGATTTAATCCCCCTAGTTTGGGAAAAGAGCGGGATCGGGCGGCAGAGGTGTCCAATGGCATATGGAGCTGGCCCAGCCGGTCCCCTCCCACCCCAAAGGATTTGGCCATACAAGGCAAAAGAATGCGGAGCGGTGCGGGGGGCGGCAGCCCAGCTGTGTGGGACGCCGGAGCTGGGACGGAGACAAGGGGAGGAGAAGCCGGGGGGAGGCGGGGGAAGAGTGCATGCTGCCTTATATAGATGCAAGCGCTCCCGGAGCGGGGAAAAGCATCCGCGGAGGCCGCGGCGTTTTGGAGCAGCCAGTATCACAGGCCGGGATGGAGGACTTCTTCCTTTATAAGGGTACAAGTCGTGCGAGGGAGCGCTTGCTGCCGGCTGGGGGCAGGAGTTTAGAGGAAGGTGATCAGATATATTAAAGGTGGACGGGGAGTACTATGGTGGCTGCTCTCACCGCCTGCAGGACTCCAAAATTTCATGTAGTTTCCTTGTGCAAAATAAAAACAGTCTCACGGTGCAATCCTATGGATGTTAAGACGGGAAAAAAGCCCTGGGGCATGCTGGGAGTTGTAGGACTTGTCCCCACTTTTGCCTAAAGAGGCATAGGATTGCGTCCTCGGACGCCCACGTTGTTTGCTTGGAATCCGAAGGGGCTCGCTTCCACTTTACCCCCGCTTCCCTCGCCGCACCCCCGCCTCGTCAGAGAGCACCCCATCTCCGGCCTCCTTCACCGCTCTCCCCCACAGTCGTCCTGGTGGAGAGCGAGGCTGCGGCCGTGCGGTCTGGCACAGCTCGACTCTTCACCCCCACGCGAGCGCTCCCAGCCAAGCTTGGGCGAAATTTTGTTGGAAAATGCTGCTTGCCAATAGGCGACCATAGCTTGAAAGGGGGAGTTGCACATATCTCGTGTGTTTTGCTGCAATCCTTTTTGCGATCTTTGGCCTGAGCTTTCAACTCATTTAAGCACTTACTTAGCGGCCTCGGTGCCCGCTAACCCTCCACAGAGGTTTGGGCCAGTGGTGAGCAGAGTTAAAGTGGGTGGGATCAACTCTCATAAACATACCCCCCCCGTCTCTCATAGACGCACAAGCACACCTGCATTCATCCATGCATCCAAAAAGAACAGACACGTGCCCATTCTAATACACACATCCATCCATCCCCCGCTCCTCCATTTCTCTCTCCCCCTCTGCCTCTTTCTCGCACACACCCCTCTCACTTCCAGGGAAGGTCCAAGACATTTTACAGCCTATTTATTTATTTGCACACATATTTGTATGCCACCTATAACTGCCAAAAGGCCTTCCTAGGTAGCTGAATAATTAACCAAACTAATTAAGCAATGTGAAGCAAACTATACAGCTGATTTTTAAAAACCCCAAATAATAGTAAACTGGCCTCAACTGGTTCCAAACAGCAGGCAGAAGTAGTACATTTTAACCCTCAAGATAGGCCAGAGTGGAAGACTAATATGAGGAGGAGGTGTTTTAGCAGCACAGAAAAGGCCCTGTTTGTGATAGCTGAAAATGTTGCTACATGAAAGAATAGATCTTGCAGTGGAGTCACTGGAAGATCTTAAGAACCTGGTAGTTTGTATAGAAAAGACTTTCCCCCAGCTATTGAGAACACAACCTGGCTAACGCTATGTATCTGCAAGTTTCAAGAGTCCTGTTGGTTCTGTCCAGTTAAGTCAGATGGGCAGGTTTGAAATTCCTCTCAGTGAAAGATAAATGGCATAGATAAAGAGCTGGTGCTACATTCACCCTATTCTTTGATGTCGTAAAAGTAACCTGCATTATTATTTTTATATTAATAATGGAATCCTAGTGTTTGAAGGGACCTCCAAGTTCATCTGATCCAGGAGTGCAGCACATCTTGCAGCCCGAGGCCAAATTCTATTTTGGAGAAGCTCTCTCGGAGGCTGCATTTGAGTGGTGCACAGAGCTGAAAGGCAAAAGTTGTTGGCAAAAACCCAAAACCCACCAGCATAGTTGAGCTCAACACGCTTACTGCCAGCAGCTAGCCCTCAGGAGAGACATTTCAAACTTTTAGAGTGGAGAAAAGGACAGGAAGGCAGGAAGCTATCGAATGAGCTGTAGTGGGGGAATGGGACAGATGGGTTCTGCACTCTTGATCTGCAGGAAATCAATTCACTGCCACAGAATCCTTACTAAGTGGCCCTTACACTTCTTTGCTTAAAACCTGTAATGAAAAGTCCTTCCCCTTACAAGGTTGTGTATTGTACTTCGCATACTATCAGGAAGCTCTTCCTAACTTCAGGCAAAATGCCCTTTGATTTGAACTCACTGATTTCAGCCTGCCATGCTATCTTCAGAAAACACCCTTGCTACATCATCTGTGTGACAGCCCTTGAAGATGGCTGTCCCGTAACCTCTTAATCATCTCTTCCAGCCTAAACATAACCAGTTCCTCCAGCGATTCCTCAGAGGGTCTCATCTCCGGTCTTTTACTATTTTTGCCACCATCCTCTGGGTATATTCCAATTTGCCCATATCCTTGTTATCCTGATGCAGCTCATAGCTTATTTGGCAGGTCCAGTTGCATTTTTCCTGTATATTCCAGCGTGTTTCAGACTCTTGCTCTTGAGTATTCCAATTTTCATACTGAATTCCATCTCTTAAAAAACAAAACAAAACCCTTCCCTCAAAACTTCCAGCCTGAACTCTGTGTACCTTGAATTTAGTTAGAACTTGTCACTTTCCCACAACCTGGTACCTTACAGATGTTTTGGACTATAGCTCCCATCATCTCTAGCCAGCATTTCATCCGCCACCTGGCATGCCCTAGTGGAACACATCCGAAGAGCCATAATTTGGGGGAGGCTGACTTGGGTATAGGGCTGGATTATAATGGTTTCTGGCAAATGTTGGGAGTTGGAGGACTTTCTTCTATCTAAATGTGCATAGGATTATGCCCTTATTCATTTAACTATATTGATATACAGTTTTAATATATTATATTGAAAGGATCTAACAGTCTAGGTCAGGGGTCGGCAACCCACGGCTCCGGAGCCAATGTGGCTCTTGAATGCCTCTGCTGCGGCTCTGTCGCTCGCGTCATAATCCGTGGCCACCGTCGGCTGATCCACGGCCCGTGCCAGCACAACTCTTGGATAAATTGAAGAAAATAAAAGTTTCTGAAGAAAACCAAACGTTTAATGATACGTGGGTAGATTCACTTGCTTTTACTGCTGACAAACTTATGGGGTTTGCTGTTTGATGCATGGAGCCCTTTAGCACTGACTTTGACTCTTCAGGAAGCTGTTCTCCTATTCGAAATATATGAAAGGAGTCCTACTAGTTTATAATGTAAGATTAAAAATAACAGTTTTTAGTGACTGAAAAAGAGCTGCAGCTAAATCATAATGAAGATATGCATAGCATTAAGGTAAAAAAACGATATATGCAGTGTTTCCTTCATTTTAGATGTCAAAAGGGTTTTGCGGCTCCCGGTGTTTTCTTTTGTGTGGGAAACACGTCCAAATGGCTCTTTGAGTGTTAAAGGTTGCTGACCCCTGGTCTAGGTAAAAGTCAGTGAAAAGTCGTTGCTAGTCCGATCCTAAATGTGTCTACTCGGATGCCGCACTGAGTTCAAGGGATGTACTACTAGAAAGCTGAATATAGGATTATGCAAACTTATATGCACTGAAGAATAAGTCCCATTGAACTCACTGTGACTGTCATCTTAGTAAACTCATTTTGGATTGCAGTATTAATTGCTAAAAATTGTAATTCAACATGATCACAACACAATATTAACAGAAGCATCAACATAACTGTTTTTATTGTATTATATTGCTGACATCATCCTGACAACCCATGGTTTCTTCTAGGGCTTTTTGATCCATAATAAGTAGTCATGTCATCAGAATGTAGGAGCACAAGATCCTGCCACTCTTCATGATTTTGCTTTCGCCATGGCCAACGACGGCCCCTCCATTTTGGAATAAGTGTCACTGGTTCACCACTCTTTATTTTTTAAATTCTAGAATATTGTTCAAGTGTGTTTGCAATTTTTTAATTTTGTTGTTTTTGTCAGTCTTCTGTAATTGTACTCTTACTCCCTCTGATATTTGTACACTGGGATGGCCAATTTCCATATATAATTCAAAGGGAACAGGGAAGTGGATTAGGTAACATACATGGAAATTGAGAAGATGAGATTGCTTATAAGCCGATTTGCCCACAGGTGTCAGGGACCAATTGCCAAGCTGTCAACTGAGAAACAACAAAAAGCTGAGAAATAAGCAAGAGTACATGTGCCGAAAGTGGAAGCAGTAGCCTAGCTTTAAGTGCTAAACTAACATGTCTCAGTGTCCTTACCTTCTCAATAATCCCCTAAGTTTCCAGCTACTCCAGAAAGAAGAACTATTGGCTTCTACCCTCCTATTGTGGTTTTCTTTTTGGTATGATTACCACTGTAGGTCCCTGATGACGTAAAATAATCAGAAATAAATATGAATTTAATAGCTGAGAAGTAAATGGAATTCTGCATAAATTTAAGGGCAGCATAGTAACAGGAGGTGAAATTAGCATACGTTCAGTAATGAACTGGTCTCTTTCCCTATATGCCCTCACACCCCTTAAGATCGGCAGGGGAGGCCTTGTTCTGGAAGCCCTCATTGAAGGAGGTATAGAGGTAACTACTTGGAGCAGGGCCATCTCTGCGGTGGCACCCAAATTATGGAATATGCTCCCCAGAGAGGTCCACCTGGTACCGACTCTCTACTCTTACCTGTGCCAGGTAAAGACCTTTTTTTTACCCATAATTTTAATAATTAACAATTTTAATAAGAAATATTAATCAGTCACATCTTTCATTTTTTCTTTTTCCTTTTCTTTTTTAATTTTGAATAATTGGTTTGATTGAATGTTTTAATGTTTATGATTGAATTTTAATTGTATTTATATGGCTGTTTATTTTGTTGTGAGCCGTCCTGAGGCTATGCATAGGATGGCATAGAAATGTTTTAAATCAATAAATAATGAACTGGTTAATGTATCGTCACAAAAACTTGAGCAAACAACTGTGTCACTTATTGTAAACCCTTGGGAAGGCAACCAGTAAAACCTGAAGAAATATGTTTTTCCAGAGTGTTTTGGGTGGTCTCTGATAAAATGTCTTTATGGAAGACGGGTATGCTCATTTCTCTTGTGTGGGCCTTTAATAACTTTTATTGCATTTTCCTATCCAAAGTTTTTCTGTTCTTCTGATATGCAGAATCCATTTTATGGTCCAAAAGTCTTTGGCTTTTTATTTGACTAGGTTCACAGGAAGGTTTGCCTTTGACGCCTTGCAGATATGGATATAAGCTTCAATCCTTTAGTGTTTCACCACAGAAGGGGCCTTAAACACAGTGCAATTTTAGGAGCTGTATTCCTACTGTGAGTGCAGTGGGTTAAGCAAATATTGTAAATTCCCCAGTACCTTTTATCTCTAATGGCTGCATTTGCTATCTTAGGGGAAAGAGAGAGAGAGAGGCTCCCTGGGTAAGGCAGAATAATAAACTATTGTAAAAGCTATGGAAGATAATGCCTTTCTGCCACCTTGTGGAAATGAACATAGCGAAAGAGTTTTGAGCACACAAAAATGGAGAGCTATCCACAGGAGGAAGCAACTTCCTGGCACGGAGGTTGCAAATGTAAATTCATAAAAGATGCAACTTTGCATTTCAGTGCAATGCTTGCATGGGCCAAATTTCATGGGTAGGTAGCATCTGTTAATGAACACTGGCTAGGCATCTCTACCCTGGGTGCCCTGGGCTACTTGCCCATAATTAGCAGTAGGGTGGAGCAAACTTTTATAGACTGTTTTCAGCCTAAGGGTCATTTTATACATCATATCTACAGCCAATCTGGACAGAGAGATACTAATCTGCAGCAATGTACCTGTATGATGATGCTGATTCAAAACCTGTTTGTAAGATTCATCCTTTATATTTTGGGTGGATGATTTAGAAGTGTATACCAAACTAAGTGTATACCAAACTAAGCCAATATATGACAAGTTTAAAACTGCTCAGTGCCTTTGAAGGACAGAATTCTGGAGACAGCAAAATCTGAGGCCTGTTTGGTCCCAGGTAAAGTCCTTATTTTTCTGGGGTGTATATGTCAAATAACATTCTAATCTTGCTGGCTTGCTTGATGCTGTCAGAATCCCAGAATCTCAATTTGAGAAGAGGGAATAAAACTCGGGTTCGTGGGAAAGATCAAGCGTCCAGACCATCTGAGGCTTTATTGTATTTACCCCAAGGTTCCTGTGGTACTCATGATAATGCATGCATTACCGGGCAGGCAGAGGTGAACTCTGCTGCAAAGCTTCAACACATTGCAGGGTATTTTATAGGTACACAGGTACAGGGTAATCGATGAGATTACAATACAGGGCAAATGAGATTACAGGGCAAATGCAGAGATTACAATAAGATTCTGAGGTCATCACATACAGAACAGATAAAGGAATGTCAGTCAATCATACAGTAACAATGAGATTACAATATTTCTAATTGCCTGTATTGACACTTTAGTTCAGTAGCTTGAACCCATCTCCAGGCCTGCTTAGGCATATAAATTCAAGCCACTGAAACTATGCATGAACTCAAGACTCTTATCTACTCTAGACATTCTGGCCAGGACACATGGAGCCTCTGGGCTATCAAAAGATACTTCCTTGTAAACTGAATTCCAACAATGTCTATTTAATCATTGTGAAGGTATACAATGTAAATTTGGACTACATGGCCTGTGTACTGTAGCTTACAGCTAAAGGTGAGAGAAAGGAGCAGCAGATGAAGGCCATTTGAAACAGTGATTTAGCTTGGTTTGAGAAGTACAGAATTTAATCCCACAATGCAAAAAGCACACAGAAGTAATGTTTTTCAGACAGGATTTATCCAAATTTTCCCAACAATGCTTATCATAATCACCATCATCATCATGGCTTTTAGCTTATTCTATTAGTTTGTATTCAAATGTTAATTGCTTTTCTTTCTCTTTCTTTGCAAATTGCCCTGGGAATATAGGAAGGTGTCTTATGCTAAGCATCTAGTCCAGTATTGTCAACACTGACTGGCAGCTGCTCTTCAGGGTTTCAGGCAGGAGTTTTCCCAACTCTATCTGGAGGTCTAATGTGTTATGATAGTCCGAAACTTATTTAAGTTTTCCCTTTAATTTTGAAATGTAGGCAGATCTCCATCCGCTGCCCGTGTTGCGCGGAGCGGACCCCATGCGGACATCCATCGCACGCTGCTTATCACCGCTGATGGGGCTCGTTGGCTGCTATGTGCTTGTCCCGCCACTAGTGTGCGCTGCGGAGAAAAGCAACGCCGTTTTGGTCGGCCCTCTTCACGCCCCGTAGCGCGCTTCGCTCACGTGCCTAGAGCCGAGCGGCTAGAGGCGATGTCATTGGTCGGGCCGCAGGGCTGGTGCTCACGTGGGTGTGCGGGTGTCTTCCCGGCCGTGACCGCGGGGCGCGCTGAGCTTGGGCCTGGTTGGGGGGACGATGAGCGGCGGCCGGCGGAAGGAAGAGCCGACGTCGCACTCGCACTCGCAGCAGCACCTGGTGGCCAACGGCGGGGGCGGAGTGTTGCGGGGCTCGCTCTGGAGTAAAGCTTTGCGGAGCGACACCGCCTGGGAGGACAAGGTGAGGCCTAGGCCTGTACTGCACTTCTCGGGCCGGGTGAGGGTTGGTTCGGCCCTGTGCCGACAGGCTGTGGGAGCTGCAGTGCAAGGCTCATGGTCGAAAAAAGGTAGAGGAGGGCAATTGGGTTCAGGAATTAAAAACTCGCAAGCAGAAAGATTAAAGGTGGGGAGAGGAAGGCACTCGCTCCAAGGGGATCAGATGCAACAGAGATAATTAGTGCTTCTGCGCGTGTTTTCCTGTAAATGCCCCTGGACAGCAGGGTGGTGAGGCAGATGACCTCCCAGAAAGTCGGGGTTCCAGCTCTTTAAGCCTTCCTCTTAACACCGGTTGTGGCTGTAGGATGGTTTGGCCAGAGTGTCAGGGATGGAGGGCCGAGCAAAACATCTGTAGTTTAAAGTGCTTTATAATGTCAGAGTCCTGCAATACATCCATGAAGTTATCTGGGCAATTGTGCTAGTTCTAATCCCACACATTTGCAGGGTGCCAAGTTGAGGAAAGGTGGGCTAGATTGTAAACAAAATAAAGGCAGGATGGAGGGCTTCTGCCAGTTAGAAAGTAGAATATGGGAAGAGGTTATAGACATGCAAACTGGGCTAATGTAAGTGCTATGATTTAGGGTTGTATCTGGGTCTGTCACTATGGTGGCTGGAAAGAAGAAGCAAGCAATAGTTGAGACCATTTTTAAACAAATGTATAATCTAGCCATTATCTAGATGAATGACCATCCTCAGAACACATGGGTTCTTTGATACGAAGATCTCTAGCAAACTGTATTGTGGTTACTGAGCTTTGATAAATTAATAAAATGTTTGGGAGTTATAAAAGAAGGATGCACTGCACCAGATTGTGTTGAACTGCTATACTGAGTGGCACCAACAGTGATATATATGCTGATCAAAATATATGATCTCTGTTCCTTCCTCTAAAAGCAGGATGCCTTAGCTAAGATTTGGCCATTGATCTGCCTATTAATCCTCTGTGACAGTTGTCTTTCTAGCTGTATAGTTTTTATGACCAGATGTACTTTTTAAAAAATGCAACTTTGAACAAAAGCAATTGATTGTCCTCAAGGCAATCACAAACTAGTGGAACCACTTATTCTGAGCCAGTCACCTACTTCACAGGGTTGTTGTGAAGCCATAGTATTGGCATATCATATACGTATTCACACATAGTATATGTACATGCTAGCTGTCCCTTAGGAACTTGAGAAATATTTCCAATTAAGATTACAGTAGTTATGCCTTGATCCCTTTTTCTTTTTTCTGTTACTTACATTGAAGACTTTCTCTGAAATACTTGCATAAGTTTTTGAACAAAGTATTTGATGTATCTTCAGAGCCAGACTTCTTTTTATCACTTGAAGTATATTTCCAGTTACATTGCATATAAACAATGTAGTTCATATGAATTTTTGTTTTGTTGCTTCTCTGTAGGATGAATTTCTAGATGTCATTTACTGGTTCCGGCAGATCATTGCTGTTATTTTGGGAGTGATCTGGGGCATTGTTCCATTGAAGGGATTTGTAGGCATAATAATGTAAGTTGTTACTACTTCCTGCTTTTTGGTTAAAGATTGAAAAAATGGTGTAGGTTGAAGCTGAAACAGTTGAAGGACATACAAAGGCCATCCATACACATCTAATCTGAAACTAATTTTAATATATCTTGCTTTATAAGTTGCTGTGAATTGGTAACTCCCAATGGATGGGAAAAGTAGAGAGAATGGTTTATTGCTTTTCATGGAGACAAACAAAAGGAATAAAAATAAGCCACATACACTAAAAATTCTAGAGAGGAATACAAATTTTCTGTGCAAAAATAGTGACTGTAATGCTTTATGTGCAGTGCATGCACCTTAGAACAACTCTGTCACTGAGATGTTTAAAAATAGTTGCCTAGGAACTTGAAATGTTTCAGTTTTATGTGCAGCTGATACTTAAAATGGTACTTCTGGTTTCTTCCTGAGCTTAACTAAGTAGTGACAGTTGATGCTTTTAAAACCTTGAAATGGCTCCTCGATTCCCAGTTGTTATTCATTTCTATCTGCTATCTTCTGTTTTGTTAACAGAATTTTAAAGTGTGTTAACTGTTTCGATGTAAGTTGCCTTGAGTGTGCCTGATTGAGGCATAAAGGCAAACTACAAATGTTTTTATAAAATAAGTACCTTTTGGCAGCTTGTGGGTGAAAATAGAATCTGTGCAACTAAATGTCTGGTTCTTGAAAGTCTTCTAGGAGTTAGCTTAATTTTTGTTCATAATGGCATTGGCAGCAGGGCAAGGCAGGAGGACCCTCCCACCAGTCAGAAGCCTGCTTTGTTGCAAGACTCCAGTGGGTTACCTAAAGAAAGAAATCACAGGAAAGCTTTTTGATGGACTGCAGGTCAATATTTGAAAGAAAAATAATGTCCTGTCAGTCTGAGTATTGTGTACACATGGGCAGATCTGCCATGAAGAAAGATAAGGGGATCCATTTTGTTAGGAGGTCTGGGTTGGCAAAATATGAAAAGCTGATCTGATGTATGGCTTCATTTCATCATGACATTGTCCTGTAAACACACCATTAAAATGAACAGAAGCTGCACAAGAGCACAGTAACATTCCTTAAGGATTCAAAAGCAAACTCACTGGTAGATTATGGCAGGTATATTTGATGTGTTTACAATGTAAATTGAATGATGATTTCAGTACATTTTCCCCTTTGCAGATTCTGTATCATAAATGCTGCGGTCCTGTACCTCTATTTCAGTGGCTTTCAGCAAATAGACGAAGAGGAGTATGGTGGAACATGGGAACTAACAAAAGAAGGGTTCATGACATCTTTTGCATTGTTTTTGGTAATCTCTGCTATTTATTTGTAGACTAATAGCACTATGCATGCAATAAAATGAGGCAGGTATCACCTCAATAAACCTAAAAGAAAAACATAGAAAGAAAGGAAACTAAGTAAGGACAGGTGCAAAAGATATATGTGTCATAAGACTGAAGAAAATGAGATTAGTAGATACAGTTTCCCCAACTAAAGATTTAAAAGGTAAATAGATAGATTTTTAGAAAAGAGATGCCTGAGCAGACTTCTACTTGTGCAGGGAGGATTTCCTTTCCTCTGTAAACCAGTGAAGTCAGTTCTGGACATTCCCAAAGCCCTCTGGATTGGGGAACACAAACTTCTGCCAGCAGACACTGTTGAGTTTGAAGACAAATACTATTGTATACTAGGTACACCTTGAGTATCTAATAATAGTGAAGCCTATCCTGAAGGAGTGGTGTATGTTCAAATGTTCCCTACCAAAAAATCCCAAACCCATCATTTCAGTGTAAATAGAAAATGGCCTAGTCTCGGGCATCATTTTCTAAAGGCATGGAACTTTGTTTTACAGAAAACACTATAAATGCCTCCTTTGATATGTAGTCCACAGCACTACAAGTCAAGAATTATTTTGCCTCCTAACACTAGTGAATGTACCTAGCTCAAATACTGGTGGTAAGAGGAGACAAACTGGAAGCTTTTCGAATGTAATTGAAGTAGAACTTTCATCCACATGATTGCAGAACTTCTGGATGAGCAACAAAGAACTTAATTACAGTGTTTACCTTTTTATATATAAAACAGAGAGTTCCCAGACAGTTTCATCTCTGCCACAGTCCAAATTGTGTTGCAGAAGCATAAAGCAAATGATAGAGGAATAGCCCTCCACATTCTTGCCATTGCTGCAAACAATGAGGTTTCTAAGAAAGCCTGCTTTCTTGCTATGGATTGGAGTAGTGCTTTATTTATAAAGAGTAAAGCAAAACATTTCACTTCTGGGGTTTGGTGAATGATGCAGACATAACAACCCAAAACATTATGTTGTCTGCTGATGTCTTGTTTGTGTTTTCCTTCAGGTTGTCTGGATAATCTTCTACACTGCCATCCATTATGATTGACAGAGTCAGCCAACTCACTTGTCTTAAGAGATTGAAGAACACTTTAAGGAACAGGTTTTGGACTGGAGGATGATTAGAATAAGCCAGCTTTTGTACCCATGGTCCAAGGAAATGAGATAAGCCTCATGGCTTTTGAGAAGAGAAGTTGAGTCTGTTTTGATTATTTTTTAAAATATTGCTTTTCCAGAACTTAAAAAAAAGCCATCAGTGTTTTGCAAACAGTACAAGACTGTTCAACCTTGCAGCCCTCTCTGTGACTTTATCCAGCACAGCAATGACAAATCTCAGTATCCTGAAAGGGTGTTCTTATTGATTTGTGCCCATTACATTGTCCTATCTGAATGAGATCTATTCAAATTGTGAATTGTCTTCCATTCATTAGACATACAGTTTTAAAACAGTAGCCATCATGAGGCTTCTGTCAGGACAAATGCTATAGAATATATTATAAAGAACAGATTTTGATGGTTGTCTCAGCTTGTTTTAAGAAAATTAAAGATCTGATGTAATTGATTGTATTAAGTATTAATGTCTTTAACTGATTCATTGAGGGTTTCTTAAATTTTGGCTACTTGGCAATATTAGAAGAATAATCTACAGATTGCTTCCTAAAATTTGGGATTTTAATTTCAGAATGAGTAGTGCTGGGCTTATTTGGCTTGATTGTCAGACGTTCACTATGGTTAAGGAACATCTTAATGGTTCAATTAGCCAACTAATTCAGTTCTCAGAGCCTACCTCAGAATTCAGTGGTCTAAATGCACAAAATAATCCAAGACATATTTCAGAACTCAGTTATTTTGGAACCTTTATAGACTTTTGAAATTCAAACACAACAGTTAAGGCAGCTAATGTCTTGTACATGAAGCTAATGCTTTCAGGTTAGACTGACCTGCAGTTTTAGTTCTCAACTTTGTGATGATTAAATAACATCATCAAAGATAATAATGACATTGACTGTATACTAGTTTAGGGTACTTACAATTCTTGACTGTAGATACTGTCTAAATCCATTTTTAAATACATGCATTACTATCTGTATGGGTATCTGTAGGAAGTAGCCTGTCCTTAGAATTGGATCTACATGTACTATTCTTAATCTGAGGCTACAATCCTAGACATGCCTACCTGAGAACAGGTCCTGTTGAATCCCACAGGATTTCTCATAGATGTGCATAGGATTGCACCCGAAGTTGGGCAGGAAAGGGAGATTTGCACTAAAACTGCCTTATGGTGAGAAACTGACTTGAGTCTTAACACACTGTGGATGAATTCCTAATTCTTCTTGCTCTTCTGTTAAGCTGAAGTTTTTTTTCATATTTGACTCCATGAGGTACTTTTCAGTATTGTACAATATCATCTTGACTTTCCTTCTCTTACTACTAAGTCCTAACGTCAGAGATTCTGCTGAAAGAGTGTCAAGGGAGAAGTTCTGTAGGTGCTGAGGGCCATAGCTGGCATTGCTCTTGCATTCTTTTCCAATTTACTGAATCTGCCCTTCTGGTGTGTGGATTGTCCTTCATATTCCCCATATAAATTGGAATAGACAATTTTTCCTAAGCAACTTGGCATCTGCAGGGTTTAAGTTGCATTTCCTAATCAGCATCTGATTTCATTTACTTTAAGCTTCAGCCACCCACCAAATAAAATAAATCATTTTATACCTGAAGATCTCTAATAAATGTCATATCAAGAAGCTGGTATGGTGCTTTTTCATTTGTACTGGCATTCCTTATTTATGACCGTGGTATCCAAACTTTGTGATTGACTTGTCCCTTAATATTTACTGAATAACTTTGCAATCAAAAAGAATGGCTAGAATTAGCAATTGTTTAAGAGACCTTGCTAGTACTAATTTGTGACATCGTTTTTCCAAGGCCAAGAAAGTATAATCCTATTGTGCCTTATACTCGCAGTAGTAGATACCTCTGGAAGGTATTGGCTTGGATCCTAAGGTCCATGAGTGACATTCTGCTCGCAGAAGATTCCTGATTCCTTCTATGTCCCCACAGGGATCACTCAGAAGTGTTCAGGGACCTTCTAGAAAAGTGATGGGGGCTTGAATTGAAAACTTGGTGAAAATGTTGCACCCCAACCCCATACTTGAGCAGAAATGTCGCTAGGTCCAAGTCACTGCTTCCTCTGGCAAGTGTAGTTCTTAATTTGAGCTGAGACTGATCTCTGGTGTGAGTAAAGCATGTGAGGAATGCCTTCTCCTAACACTAAGTTTAGGCAGCTATGTGGCATATGAAGCCCAAAGCATCTGGAGGGCACCAAACTGAGGAAGACTGCAATATGCAGAAGCAGCGTCTTGCTCATAAGATCAATGCTGAATAAGCACAAGAACTGTGCTTTGTAAGATTCTGTTGCTATGGTTATCATTGTGACTTTGTGTTACTCAACTTCCAAAGTAGGGAGTTGGACAATATGTAACTTGCACAGAATATTAATGTACACAAATCTTCATTAATAAATGTACTATTCCCAGTACTTTTTAAAAAAGCCTGTCAGCTGATACCTTCTGAGTCAAAAAGTGATGATGACCTAAAATGACTTCCTTAGCTATATGATTCATTTGACTTACAGTGACTCATCTTTGTTAGTGTGTACCTGATACTAAAGTACAGTGTGGTCTTTTACAGCAATGGGACAAGAGAACAAAAAACTATATGCATTACATGAGTTTGTCCACTGTTGCGCTATGAATTTGCAGTCTCTTTTAGAGTGGTTGCCCTTGTAAAAACATTTCCTTATGCCTATCTCCCATAATGCAATGTAGAATGCCGATTCAATGGCAATGCATGTGTACTTGCTCTGCCTATGTCAGAGGTCCCTGGACTGCTATAGTGCTGGCTTGCAAGTGACCCAAGTTTTTTTCTGTTTGCATTTTGAAATGTGCTGCAGTAGGAACTACACTGAAAATATAATGCAAATTAGACTTCTGATCTATCTTTGAATCTAAGGGCAAATACGTAAGAAAAAATGCAACACAGGCTGATCAAAAATCAAGCTCCAGTCATTGAGTTAAGCACCAAACTGTTATGCAACAGCTTTTATAAAGGAGTAACCCTCCCATATAAATGAGAGAAGCTTCATCACTATCCCAATAAATAACTGAACCAGAAGGTACATGCTAACAGTTACTGTTCCACATATACCCCACCCCTACACAACCTGAGAGTTTACCCATAGTTTCAGAAGCAGCTTGCATGCATCAGAAAGGAAAAATCTCTAGTTTGCATATTTGACTTGGTATCCAGTTAAAATGGCTTACTGGTCTCCCTTGAAGCATATAAAATCTAACTTGATTGATGGTGTGAAAGAAAGTAGTTTTTGCTGTGGTCCCTAATCTCTTTCAGGGGAATCTGTTAGTGCATGCAATGTCTTGAAAACACTTTCGCTATGTGTAATGCTATTGACTTTATTTCATGTTCTTAGACTTTAAGGCTTTATGGTTAGGAAACAGGTGTTTGGCACTGGAAACTCGCTCTTCTCTGGTTCTTAGAGCCAGGGTCAAGTAACGTCACACACAGGATCAGCCCGGACTGTGAAGATGGCTGTCAATAGCCAGTATGTAGTCTTCCGACACTGATTTTTATGTGTTGATAACATGGGAGAACATGATCCTTGATGTCCCTGATGATGCTCATTTCAAATAAATGCCTGCTTGTACGAAAGAGGATAAGAACCCAGTGCAGCAGCTGTCCTGGAAGTGCTCTGAATGGCACTCATAAAGCTGTCTACACTATGGCATGGTTTGCTGAACAAGCTGGGATCTGCTTGCAGACCAGCAAAGAAGCTGCAGTGTGTTTCACCAACATTTGTTTCCCCACTTCCATCCCCTCTCCTTTGGGGATTCTTTGAATACTTGGCTGCTATCCTGAACATCTTTGAGGTGGTACCTGAGGATTGGCATGGCTTTATCCCATTACTAGTTCTCTTACCACTGGCAAGCTGCAGAAATGGGGCCCTATGCATGTGAATGGGCTTTCTGTGCTTACTCATGCACATATATTACGTATGCTGAACCTGTTCACATGCCAGTCTAATGTAAAGGGCATGCAAAGGACCTCTACTTTGAGTAGAGCCATCTCAGGGTACCCTCCACAGGCAGTCTAGCCTGTGGTTTATAGTTCTTTTCTATAGCTGTTCTTGGAGCATTGTGCTATGAGACAGATCTACAAGGTGCAAATCTGGCTCTCTGAGGTGTTTGTGTACACTAGAGCATTACTGACCATTACCAGAAGCCCTGGAAAGAGGGAACCTGTCATGGGTTTTTCAGACACAGAAGAAATCTAGAAAATGCCTGGGTTGTGGCTTCATTCAGAAGATTTAGCATTCAAAACTGTAAAGATATGTTTTTAACTTGGTGGTGAATTATTTTGGAACTGCAGAGCTCCTGGCTAAGCCAAGATTTGTGCTTCTGTTTTCTACAGAAACACTGTGGTCCTTGTGAGCTTTTAAAGTCTCTCTCCAGTATCGGAAGACCTTGGTTTCTGAACTGATAATTTTAAGAGCTGTGCTCTACCCCTTGGCACATGAATGTATAAACATCACAGAAGAATCTTCTGGAAAGTTCATCCATCTGTTTGTTATCTGCAGCAGCAACGTCCTCTGATACTATAGCCTAATAGTGTCCAATCTGAGGGCAGGTCTTGACCACAGGGACCTGGGTTTGTTTCTCATCTAAAGAAACACAGGTTCCGTTTTAAGGATTCTTAAAATAAGAAGTAGTGAAAGCTGAAGCTAAAGGGAGGGTATGCTAACATTGTGTGGGGGAGAGAGAGAGATAGGGAGAGTTGGCTGAAGCCTATTATCTGGCTTTATCCTGTAGCTCACAAAGGAATGACAGGGTTGAGATATGCTCGGTTCTGTCTTACCATGAGATCCTTAATTTAAGAATTTTGAGTATCTGTCTGTCAAAGCAGCCTCACAGCAATTCGCTATGGGACAATTTAAGACTTGAGTTCGCAACTTTAGGAAGTGAGTCAAGTTCCCTGATTATGAAAAGTTCGGAAGATACTAAGTTAGAAAGTAGCCGGTTAAATAAATGCATGGTACTTGTGAAGAACCCCCCACCCCCACAAACCTGTACATGTGCATACACCTGTGAAATCGGATTCTTTGCTAAGTAGTTGAGAATATGCATCCTTTGCCATCTTGTTAACAGTAAACAATAGTGGAGTGAAGTGCTGGGTTGGGGTGTTGACCGAAGGGACAGTTCATTGTTAAAGCAGGTCACAGTTACATATTGGAGTCCCTTTTTTACTATTTTTCTGATGTGTATCTGTCAAACCAGTTGAAGGAGTACTACTTCAAGGTGGGGCATAGGCCTTATTAATCAACTTGTGCAGATTATTTATTTATTTATTTATTTTTTCGATTTATATCCTGCCTTTTTCCTACAAAGGGCTCAAGGCAGCTTACATCATTCTCCTCCTCCATCTTATCCCCACAACAACCCTGTGAGGTAGGAGGGGCTGAGAGTCTGTGACTGGCCCAAAGTCACCCAGTTGGCTCCATGGCTGAGCGGGGACTCGAACCCAGATCTCCTGAGTCCCAGTCCCATGCTGTTAACCACTACACCACACTGGCTCAGTTCATAATTTAACATTTTAGTAGTTTAGGCCTTAGGAGAAAATGCCCCTAATTTATTGCAACGAGATAACTTCTGTACCAACATAAGACCTTGAATTGTATAGAGGCAAATGCAGTGTGCTCCTTTCTTGGAGGAAACGGACTTGGACTAAACTTGGCACATCTTGTTTATATAGATCAAATGCTTAAGTACCTCCTGACTCTGCACTCAGCTTTGTAGGCTCTGTATTGAATTTTTAAAAATATATAAGGTTCTCTTATTACATGTGGATAATACTGCGGTGGAAGCTAGTTCAGAACAAAACAATAATCTGGTGTATTGTCAGGATGCAACAGTGCCAGAAAGAGCCATATAATGACAGAGGTGAAATTAGGGAGCAATAAGAGCCAGCAGAAAAGGAAAATAACACTTGGAAATAAGTTTTGAAATAATACTGCTTCTTCATGAACCAATTGTTCTGGATTTTATAATAATCCTCAGATAGTTGTTTATTCAATTATTTCATTTTTATACCACCCAATAGCCAAAGCTCTTTGGGTGGCTGACCAAAGTTAAAAAACAAACCAAAAATCACATAAATCAACAAAACCACAGCAATTGCAGTTAAATCCACATAGAAGCATAGCAGCAGTACAGAGGAATGTAATGTAAAGTTAAAATGGTGAGAAAATAAAAAGGTGTTCACCTGGCACTGAAAAGAACACAAAGTAGGCACCAGGTGTACCTCTTGGATTGAGCTCCTTTCACAGCAGGGGTGCCACAACCAAAAAGGCCCTCCTCCTAGTAGCAACCCACCTCACTTCCTTTGGAAGGAGCTCCTGGAAAAGGACCCCCAGAAATGACCTCGGGGTCTGGTAGATACATATGGTATGAAGCTTATTCCTTCAGATAACCTGGCCCCAAGCTGTTTAGGGCTTCAAATGTTAGTACTAGCAACTTGATTTGGGCCTGGACTTCAACTGGCAGCCAGGTGTAACCTTGCTGAGTTCGTACTTATGTAACTCCAAAAAATGCACACACAATCAGTTCAGCTAATTATTGTTTGTAGTTGCCTCCTCCTGCCTCAGTCACCATGGTTGGTATATTGTGTTCTATTGGGTGCACACAATTCCATCAACTAGAGACAATCAGGTCATTTGGAGCAGAAGCATTTCAAACATGCTAGACATCTTTCCCTTGAACATATATTTGTCTTGGTTTCCTTTGGAAGGAGAAACGACTAGGGGATTAAAGCATTTCTGAAATATTTAAGTTTATTTACAAATAAGGTGAGCATCAGCAGAACAATACTCCAGCAGCTGTAAAATGGCTCCCATGGAGAATGGCCATCTAGTTCTGCATCTTACTAGTGTTCAATTTGGGGGCCAGAAGCCACAGCTCAAATCCCCCACTTCCAAATGACCACTCAGAGTGTGGCAGATGATGACTGCAGAACAGAGCTTCATTTTATCCCCACAGTTAATGATTGTGCTACAGAGTGAGCTTAAAATGCAAAACTGCATGTGCTCAGAGTCCTACATGATCTTGAGTAGTGGTAGCCACACTTCAGCTTTGTGAGGTCTACATTTTTCCCCTAAGAACCCCAGAATCCACCAACTGGATTTTAGTGCAAAAGACATATGCTTACTATAATTTTTAAAAATATATCAATTTTCAAGAATATTTTTGAGTATCAGAACTGAACAACATTTATGCCTCAATCTATTTTGGTTACCCTCCCACATACACACTGTCACAAATGGATTAAGCCAAACTTTAGGTGAGAGAAGAAAAATATGGCTCTGATCAATGACTGATTTACAAGGTCTAAGAAAGCCAGTTGTCAAGGTCTTAAGGAGTAATTTATAGCTTGAGTTTATCTGGACTGTCAGACCCAAGAATGCCCAGATTTTGATTATGGGTAGCTAGGAGAATTGCCACTTGAGGATCAGGAGTTTTGACATCACTCCATGAGTGGGGGAATAAAGTAGGAGGGACAAAGCTTTTCTCTTCAGCTAGCTTTTGCAATTTGAAAAATGAAGCATAAAGTCATCGAAACCGCTAGATGGCTTGAGATCATAGAAGGGGGAAAGGAGAAAACGCAGTCCTCTTGTGGTATCCCATAGGGAAGAAAAAAAGGGGGGGGGCAACAACCCGTACTGAATCCAATACAGCTGGGTGGGTTGTTCACACAATAACACAGTTAACCCTTACTGTTAGGGTTGGTTAACATGATGTGGGAATTTTGCTGCTGCTGCTTTTAAACAGCTGTCAATGTCTTGCTGGTGTACTGCAAGTTCTCCAGAGAAAAACCCATGCATCCACATGCACCTTCTGTCTACCTCTGATCTAGATTCCCACAGGGTCTTTCTATTTTCTTCTTTAAGGAAAATGCTTTAAGGTTTTACACCTGGCAGGGGTTAGGTTAGGGTGATGGGATCATAAAAGCTTCATCCGAAAGCATCCTATATGTGCAACAAGTACAATTTAAAAAGATTCTTCTCTTCCTTTTGGACCTGAATCAAACAGTCAATCAGGAGCGGCTGGAGTTTTACATGGCTTCCAGAATGTTTGGATCTCCTTCCCATGTGAGCCCATGAGCCCGGCACAGAAAAGTTGGAGAGCTCTGGCTATTGGGCGGCATAAACATGAAATAAATGTCAGCCAGTCACTATGACATGCCAGCAATTCCTTGCTTGGTGACTGGTTGCATCCGCACAGATGCTTCTGTGATGTATTTTTGACTTGAGGCATGTGCAAGGCCAGCTCCAGGTTTTCGGGGGGTGCGTGGGTGGGGCACAGAGCCCAGCAGCTCAGGAGTTGGCACTGGCCCCCTTCGAGGCTTTGGGCCTCAGCGGGAGCTGGATTATGCTGAGCTGAACCTTCGCATTTGGAGAAAGCGCTGAGAGAAACCGTTGTCCTGAGCCTTTGGTTAACTCCTCCTCTCCTCTTGTCCCAGGGAAGAAGAGCCTGCAGAGGCGATCATTCCAACCACACGCCTTTGAGTGCGTGAGATCCCTTGCCAGGCCGGAGATGCGAACTGCGAGGCAGGTTCGCGCCCCTGCGGGCCCCAGCCCGCGGGAGGAAGGGCGGTCCCTGGGCTCCGGGCTCCGCCCCCGCGGCGCTCCATCGGCCAGACCCGCCGCCCCTCCTCCTCCTCCGGACACCTGCTCCGCTCGCCCTCGCCTGCCTCCTGCCGGCGCTCTCCGTTCAGTCACTTCCGGAGCAGGAGCCGCGGCTGAGCCTGCCAGCCTGCGCGCCTGGCTGGTCGGGGAGGCGCGAGCGGGATGGCGGCGGCGGCGGCGACGGCCGGAGCGGCCACCCCGGCTGCAGGGGCTGCCGAGAAGGAGGCGAGCCAGCAGAGCAGCCTGGGCGCCTACTCGCCCGTGGACTACATGAGCATCACCAGCTTCCCCCGCTTGCCCGAAGAGGAGCCGGGCAGCGCCAGCGCCGCCGAGAGCTGCCTGCGCTCCAGGAAGGAGGAAGACGCGTTCCTGGGAGAGCAGGACACCGGTGAGAGCGGAAGCGGGCGGCCATCCCGCCCGCCTGCCTGCCTGCCTGCCTGCCTGGTCCCTGCATCCTCCGTCCATCCAGCCATGGCTCCATCCTTGCACCAGCCTCTCGCCTCCCGTCCGGCCCCCGAGCATCTCCCCTTCTCCCGTGACGAGCCCCCGCCCGTCCCGCCGCCCGCATCTCTCCTTCAGGCTCCTGCCCTCCGGATGCCCCCTCCTGCGTCATCCCTTCCCCAGATGCATCTGGCACCCACTCAGGCCCTGCATCCTCGCCCGTGCAGAGCTGACCTCCCCCGCCCTCACCCCGCCGCTCTTCCTGACTGCCACGCTCTCCTCTAGGTGTCTCAGCCCCCCCCCAGTCGTCCTCAGCCTGCCTCCCCACTTCTCTGCAGCCATTTTTTCTCGTGGGCTCCCCTCCCCCTACACACACCCACTCACCCGTATCACAGCGTGGTGCTCTGTGTGAGCATTTCTGCCCATGCATTGTTCTGTTCTCTCTCCGTCCTTCCTTATTCCTGCGGTTTCCTTCCCCTCCTCATTTCTTTCTCTTTCCCATCATCCTCATTCACTCCCCATCGCCCTCTCCCTTGCACTGTTTTTCCCTCTGAAAGCAATAAAGTAAGGCACCTCGTGCCCCGCACTGGTTCTCCAGATTCTGCAGCTGGCACACTACACCTCCTGCTTAGTTGCTCTCCAGAGCACGATTCCTCATGCTCCAAGAGGCTACCTTGTTCATCTTATCTTCATAACTCATTGAACACACGCACACACACTCCTGGGGGTTTGGGTGAGCGGCCCCCAAATTATGATCTTCAGAATGCCATTATGTTCATTACTAAGCCTTGTTACTACAACCAGCAAAGAATGTAGATCAACTTTAACCCCAGAGTTTCCAACATGGTATCCGTACAGGTCAATGTGCCTTATGAATCCTCCCTGTCAGACTTCTGTCCTTCCTGATTTTAATTTCATTTCTTAAGATTTTAAAAAATGTCTTTGCATAACTGGAGAACTAGCCTGGTGCAAAGCAAAGTGCTGTCCTCCATTATCAATTTTGTTTGGGTTCAAAAGCATAGATTTGTCTTTGGAGGTCAGAACTCATCTCTACATTGGGTTTAGGTTCTTGGGCAAGATTCTTTTCTTTAAGTCTCAGCAGTCTGAGTGTTTGTTGTGCAGTCATGCCTGTCATGGTAGCCATTATATGTGTTTGCAAGCTCCCCATAACAGCCATTTTGTGAGAGTGCCCACAACTCTTCCTTGAAATTCCAAGTGTGCCTACTGCCCCAATGAGGTTGGGTGTCCCTGTGCAACTATTCAGCCTAAAAAGTGAGTTCATACTTGAGTAGGGAGTGGGGGGCCAGCCCCACCTTTGCCAGCTCTGCCTCCTCTCCATTTTGATCTGGAATGTGTGACAAGGCCTGAATTATGCTTAGAAACTCCCCCAGTTGGTAATCTTGACACAGGAAGGTTGAGGCTGAACAGGACAGAGACCATGGATCTGTCACGCATGAGCCCATGCTCCCTACACATTTTAGCTTTAAGGTGGAGTGCTGAATGCCTGCATAGAACGATTGTTTGGGCATCCTTTTGTTCTTTAATGCCAGAAAACTAGGCAGTCATGGGTAGGTAGGATAAGAGAGAGAGGTGAATCAGGGATTACACTGAAAGGGGTGGAGTTTTCTATTGCTTTACTGAGTTTTGGAAAGACATCAGATTGTCTTTACTATCTCTGCATCAGTTCCATACTTCAGAGCAAGATTAAATATTCCAGAGATAGCCAAGACCTACCCAAATCCCTAATTTCAGATTCTGCTGTTGATTACAATGCAATTTTACAGGGGTTATGTGGAGTGTAGGGTTTCCAGTAGGAGAGTCTGTAGGTAATAGGTACAATTTAACATGTGGTTCTCCTTGGTTCCTGTGTCATCTTCAGAGCTCTGTGAGCCAGTCTGAGAAGCTGATTGGCAGCAGGTTTGGGACGGACAAAAATAAACACTCCTCCATGCACTGTGCGAATAGTATAGAATTTACTGCCATAAGATTGTTTCTTTAGAAGGGTTAGGCAAACACAGGGAGTGGCTCATGATAGCTAAATGGAATCTTTGCAAATAGAGGCAGGATACTGTTGAACAGCAGATGCTGTGCCTAAACCTCAAAGGAAAGCTGGGAAGCTCCATTACTGGCATAGATACTTAGTAGCTAGTTTTGTGGCTACCTTGACCTTCCACATTAAGGCCCTACTTGTTCAGGCAAATGTCTGAATAAAGCTTTTGATGTTTTATTTAATTTCTATACTGCTCAGTAGATGAAGCTCTCTGAGCTCTCTCACAATCAGTTCATATTCTGAGAAGTCCTCAGGACATATGTTAGAGAATTCAGGAGACTAACTCAGCATGCTAAAATCAATGAAAATGCCACCTTGAATTTGATAGGTAACTAAACATACCGACACAGATTTCACAACATGCTAGGGTTCACCATCAATTATTTAAGTCATGGTGAGCTGTGGTACATTTCAGGCATGATTTGAATATGCAACCTGCAGTTGTGAATTGCCTTGATGGCCAGGTTTGCACAACCTGGCCATCAAGTTTATGTAAGGATAAAATAACCTTTGCATCACTTTAAACAAAGAAAGTTGTTTAATCCTGACATAACCTCTGAAGGCTGGATTTGGAATATAGCAACCCCCTGATTGGGGGTTACATATTCAAAATGATGGCTAGCACACACTATAGCTCATCGGGGGTTGAATAACAACAATAGACTGTTGCATTGTCCAAACTGGTCTCCTGCTTCCTTATATGTTGGCAAAATGATTCTGCTACAAGTTCTAACTTCACAGAAAGACTTTTTGACCTTTTCTGTGTATTCTTCTTTCTCAGAGTCTCTTTTTGTATACAAATGAGTAGCAAAAGCTATGTCTAGCCCCAAATCCCCCCCCCCCGCACCATTCTTCACAATATTGTAACCCTGAAAAGATTTGTACCCCTGGTTTCTGTGGAGTGGAAAGAAACATTTTGCCAAAATTTGGGATGCCAATGTTGACTGTTTAACATGCTTAACCTTACGATCCAGTCATGTTTCCATTTTCATGCATGCTTTTAAAACTTGTTCTTAAAGCTGCTGTCAGTGGGGTGAGTCTACTCCACACTGCACATGTGGGGATGTCTTAGGAGTGATGCGATATCACATGTTGCAGTGTTGCTCCCCAGGCCTCCCAGAAAGTGCAGCTGGCGTGATTCTATACAGAAATTTTTATGTTGCTGTGAGTGATTCAGGGCTTAGACAAACAAACAAACAAACAAACAAACAGTTTAAAAGGCAATGGGAAAAAGCCTGAAAAACTCTCAGCCGCCTTACAGGATGAAATAAGGTAAGTGACATCAGCTTTGATATTTAAGAGAGCTTTCATCCCCCATTATATTCCTTTGGGGAGGGGGTTTATTCCCCCCCCCCCCGCCCATCCAGTGAATGATTGAAAGACGAATGCTAAAAATTTTCATCCTTTCTCTGGAAAGCAAAAGCACAAATCACATACATTATTTCTTTCCCTGTATCAATTATAATGTGGAAAGTATGGCTTCTCTAAGTAAGGCTTCCCTGAGATGGACTCAAGCCATATAAGCCCAAGGTAGCTTCTGTGGCCAGCAGACCTCACATTGGACAAAACCCTGCTGTAAACTGGATGCAAAGACTGAGAGAGCGCAAGTCACTGGTGCTTCTTCTCTTGCTGGTTTGAAACACATGAGGCATCCCTGGGGAGATTTGGTCTGTTGAACCTATTATGAAGAAGAGGTGCTTTGTTTTTTATTTCATTGTCCATCTTGGCTGAATCACCACCACTGCTATGCTTCAAATTTTCCACTTTCATTTTGCCAGAACATCACAGCTTCTGAGTGAACCTGTGTGTGTGTGTGTGTGTGTGTGTGTGTGTGTGTATTAAAAAATCTTTTTGTTAACTGTCACAAACTTCTGAAGTTTGAACATGTGAATAAATATTTTATTTTGGTATCCGCATGTTTATATGTCAATTTTTTGATGTCTCTTTTCATATGCCTGCACATCCTCTAGCATGAATACTGAAAGAATCTGTATTTAAGGTCTGTTTCAGTGCCTCTAAAGTGTCTTACCGGGATCCAATAACAACAACAACAACAATCATCTGTGGACTATTTCTGTCCTGCCTATGTTGACATTGATCAAATGATGTGTTCTTAAAACCTCTTGCATTTTGATACATTGATCATTCCTTAAGACAGCATTTTGTGTTTATATAGTACATTTCAAAACATTTCACATACCTTGTAATTGTAATTCATAGAGAAACAAAGCTGTCTTTTCTGTGGATCCCTATTTCTTGCTCTTTTGGGACCTGGTCATCATTTTTGCTCTCCAGCCCCCCTAAAATATTTTTCAAGATGCTTTCAGGCACTGACATGGTTTGCATGTACCAACTCATGGGTTGTCAGAGAAAAGCAGGAGAGACTGAGGGCACTCACACTTTTATTTGAGAATTTGCCACTGGTCTGCACATCACTGGGGATGCTGTGTGCATCCTGAGTGCTGTGTTGCTTATGGACGATATAAGTTAAGACAAGGGAAAGAAATTTCAGGTGGGTGGATAACGTAGAAGAGGAGGCGGCACCATGTCAGATTGTCCCTGAACAGGTGGGATTACACCTGTGCACAGGCCATCATCCAGTGCCTGTATCGATGGCATGGAGTCCCCCTTCCAAGGTCACAGGCAATGCTCCAACCTTAGGAAGCTGAGTTCGAGATCTGACACTCCCCCCCCCCCAGTGGTTACCAAAGGCACTGCACTGGTGCCATCTGAGGTTGAAAAAGTGACCTCACAGGAGGGGAGAGAGTCCAAAAAGGCCATGATATGAGATCGCCAGAACCCCCTCAGCCTGCCTTCCCTCTCATTCCAAAGCACCTTATAAGCAGGACTGAAAACCGCATCTAGTGAAAACTGGCAAAGAGAGGACATCGGAGGCA